CCGATATGTTTCCAGTCCTAGAGAGCTTCCTCTTCCGCAACGACTGGTCTATATATACGCTACCGTCACTATGAGCTTGTAAGTCAAGTAAGGCGTCGGCAGTTTGTGGAAATCCGGAGATTGAAGAAGACGCATCGTTGTACTTAAGCCTGATATCCAAGGGAACACTCCACGACGGTAAAGTAAAGCTCACGACGGTCCGCTCGTCCGCAGCGATCTCATACTCGTTGCCAGCTACCACGAGGGAAAGTCCCTTGAACCGAGTCGCGAGCACTCTCGTGACAGATGGGTCGTCTCCATACCTACAAGCGACGAATCCTCTACAGAGTATCTCACCGCGTCGAGTTGTTCGCGTTGTCGTGTCGAATGAAAAATAGAATAGAGAGGCGATCATGACTAGCGAGATTTGTTGCACACGCTGATGCAGGTCTTGATTGACGAGAAATTCTCGGTCCAGCTGTCCAATCAGCTTGCTTATGGCATCTGCGTCGTCCAGCGCCACCGCTTCCATATCGAGAGTGGGGTCGATGCGGAACTCATTGAACGCTTCACCCGCTGACCCACCTAGTCTCTGATACTGCCGGTGTCCCCACAGAGATTCCAGGCTAAAGTGAGCAAAGCGCGACAGTGAGTTCGACATGCCGTTCGGGGTTGCCTTCATCACCCCGTTACCTGCCGAGAGGATGTAATCAGGAACCGTCTTGCGAGGACAAAGCCGTAGCGCTTCGGACCGCGCGTGTAGCAATGGAATCTCCAGCCCGTCATAGTATGACGAAGTGGACGGCCCAAGACGCTTGGCCGGAAAGTACCTGGCGCATGTCAGCTCGTCTTTGATCGTGTCCTTTCGCGATTTTTCCACGTTATCCTATGGAATTGACGCGTACGTACACTGGAGCGGCCGACGTTATTTCGGCCCTGTTTGTGGTCCAAAGTCAGCTCGAACGCTCTGCAGCACAAATCGTGAGGATGCTTACGCCTCTCGAACCAGCAGGGGCCTCGGCCTGCCGGACTCTGCTTGCCGATTCTCATGGCCCGCATACGTGGTGAACAGCTTCG